TTATTCAAGTGAAAAAATACAACAATTTACTTTTTCTTCTTGTGGCTGGACTCTCCTTTATTTTTTCTCCAGGTCTGCTTCCCTTCCTAGATCACGAAACCCTTTCAACACTACTTTTAATCCCCGTATGATACTGATCATTTCTTCTATGTCTGCTACCCTTCCTAGATCTCTAATCTCTTTCTCTAACTGGTCCATCTCCCTATTTACATAGCGAATCATTTCCACCACTTCTATCTCTAACTGGTCTATCTCCATTCCTAGATCAGTAATCTTTCTCAGCGCTTCTCTCCTTTTATTTAGGAGAAGGCACATCAAACTTCTTTCATCTACATCTAAAGGATCCTGTGTTTCTGGTACGTTCTCCTTTGTATTTTCTTTGGCCATATTTTACCTGTGTCGAATTCAGAATGCTAACGAAGTGAGATCTTATATTTCCAGCTCCGCTTTATATACCTTTACTGTTGCATCATCTTTTTATACCTGTTGCATCATCTTTTTTATACTTGTTGCATCATCTTTTTGATATCTATTGCATCATCTTTTTATATCTATTGCATCATCTTTATATACCTGTTGCATCATCTGTAAGGGGGGCCGTGTGCAAAAAATACCATAGACTTACCTATGCATTGTGACGTCATCCACTGTATAAATACAGGTTTTCTCCTACTTTCAGCTCATTCTACAGTCAGAGCCAGCTCCTATTGGGGTCATGGATTCTACTAGAGAAAAACAGTTACATGCTCAGCGATTATTAGAATGGAAAAAAAGGGAAAGAGAATTAGAAGGAATTCTTGATGAAAATAAAGAGCGAGAATTAGAGCTTAGGAAAAGAAATGCGGTAAGATTACAGAGAAGAGCTCTACAAGAAAAACAACGACAACAACAACTACAACAACAACGACAACGACAACTACGGGAGAGAGAATCAAATCAAATTCTTGATGAAAATAAAGAGCGAGAATTAAAGCTTCGGAAAAGAAATGCCATACTATTACAGAGAAGAGCTCAACTAGAAAAACAACGACAGCAACAACAAAGGACAAGGGCGCATGAGGGGTCAAAGTTACCTATTCATTCACCACCCAAACCCAAGGCCATATCCCAGTATTATCGAGTCAAAGTGAATGAAAGGGTGCGCTCTAGAAAATTTAAAGCTCAAGAGGATTTTTACACTGTAATTTTTAAGGAGTTTCCAGAGGAAGAAAACAGAACATTTGTTCGGCGATTATTCAGAGACATGTTACAAACTTTCAAATCGAAAATGCAGTGTAATCCTAACGATTACCTCCGCCTGAACATACGCCACAAATCTTTGGAATCAGAGATTTGGTACGAGTTTACGCAATGTAAACATTTTAACGAGGACGTCATTTTAGACAAGATTGAAGCCGTGCAACAATCCAGAAAGGAGTTCAAACTGGGCGACGGGGGCATGGAATTCGATATGTTTCGGGTCAAGTATCCCGAGGGAAGTGGTGGCCAGAAAACCAAACATCTACACGTGGATAAGGAAACTTTCAAGAAAAATAAACGAGCCATCGTTCGGATCGTCAATCCCCATGATGAATTTTGTTTAGCTAGAGCCATCGTCGTGACTCGATTACACAGTCAGAAACCCGAACATCCAGACCCCGAATGGGAAAAACAATGGCGCCGTATGCGGAAAGGCGATAAGGAATCCTTAGACCAGAAACGAGAAGCCATAGCCCTCATGGAACAGGCCGGATGTGATATTACTCGAGCTTGTGGAGCCCTAGAGTGGCCGAAATTACAACAGGTGTTAGCTCCCCAGTATCGACTGAAAATATTTCAGTTCAAGTCTACTTCGACTAAACTCACCTTAGAGCGCATCTTCAAAGGCTGGGGAGACGGAACTTGTTTGAACATATTGTTAGACGACCATCATTACGATGCCATCATATCCATGCCGGGAGTAACGGGGAACCAATATTACTGTGATCATTGCGACGTGGGGTACAGGAAGGTCACAGACCATCGCTCCAAGTGTCCTCATCGCTGTACCTTTTGTTTAGGACATCACCCTAATTGTCCCGATGAAGGGATCAAGATTAAATGCCAGGAATGCCATGGAATGTTTAAGAACAGGACCTGCTACGAAAATCATTTAAAACCCCATAGTAAGAAGACCACCACTACTGTCTGCAATTTAATGGAACAATGCGAGAAGTGTCAGTCCTGGATACCTAAGAAATTATTCCCTCATCACAAGTGCGGAGGACAGAAACAGTGTAAGATCTGTAAGAAAATCGTCGATACCGATCATCAGTGCTACGTACAACAGAAACCCAAGAAGAAGAAGAAGGGGAAAGGGACCTTAGAGTTTTACATCTATTTCGATTTCGAATGCACTCAGGAAACCGGCATTCACATCCCTAATCTGTGTGTGGCACACCGCGTCTGTCAACATTGCAGTCACTTACCCATAGACCAACCCTGTCCTCATTGTCAACACATGGGACCCCGTCAGCACCTATTTCAAGGACCAGACACCTTAAAGAAGTTCATGGACTGGTTATTACAACCCACTACAGGTACTAAGAATTCCACTTTAGTACACGACGAGGCCATCGTCATCGCCCATAACTTCAAAGGCTACGACGGACAGTTCATTTTGAATCACCTGGTGCATTCCTCTTGCCTGAAACCTAACGTCATCATGACCGGCAGTAAGATCTTATACATGGAAATATGCGGACTGAAATTCATCGACTCGTATAGTTTCTTACCGTTTGCATTAGCCAAGATGCCCTCCGCTTTCGGATTCGACGAATTGAAGAAAGGCTATTTCCCCCACTTTTTCAATACGGAACAGAACCAGAATTACGTAGGACCTTATCCACCGGCAGCTTTCTACAAACCGGACGAAATGTCTACCAGTGGACGAAAAGCTTTTTTTGAATGGTACGACCAACAGAGGGGAAAAGTGTTTGATTTCCAGAAAGAGTTTGTAGGGTATTGTGTCTCGGACGTCGACATTTTACGCCGATGCTGTGCACAGTTTAGAGCCACCCTCAAGAGTTTGGTCAATGTGGACCCTTTCCAGGAATCCATCACTTTTGCCAGTGCTGCTAATTTAGCCTACCGTCGACAATTCATGCCTGAAGACACCATAGCCATCATTCCCAACCTCGGGTATCAACCGGCACGACAATATTCGGCTAAAGCCTGTCGGTGGCTCACCTGGATGAGTCAACAGACCGGATGTCACATACAACATGCCAGAAACGGGGGCGAAGTCCAGATCGGAAATTATACCGTCGACGGATACCAGGAAGCGACTCGCACCGTCTACGAATTTTACGGGTGCTATTGGCACGGATGCCCCACCTGCTATCCCAGTTTACAGACCGAAACTCATCCTCATCGGACCCAATTTACTTACCAGCAATTACACGAAGAAACCCTCAGAAGGACTGGCGATTTAGAAGACATGGGGTATACCGTCCGTAGTATCTGGGAGCACGATTTCGATCAGCAAGTGCAAAAAGATGAGAATTTACAGCAATTTGTAGGAAACCTGGACATTCCGGATCCTTTGAAACCTCGAGAAGCCCTGTACGGAGGTCGGACCAATGCCACCCGATTATATTGTGAGGAAGGGGACATGAGATACGTGGACGTTTGTTCCCTATACCCTTACGTGTTGAAACACAAGCCTTTTCCCGTAGGGCATCCCGAGATCATCACAGACGAGTTCCAGGACGTGAGAAATTATTTCGGTCTCATTCACTGTCGGGTCTTACCTCCCCGAGACCTCTATCACCCCGTATTACCTTATCGGACGGGAGGCAAGTTATTATTTCCCTTATGTCGCACGTGTGCCGAACGACAGGACTCTACGTCTCAAGATCGATGTCCACACACCGACCGGGAACGTAGTCTCACGGGTACTTGGGTGACGACCGAATTACATAAAGCCCTGGACATGGGATATACCTTAGATCGAATCTACGAAGTATGGCATTTTAAAGAAAGCAGACAAGATTTATTCAGATCTTACATCGATACCTTCCTCAAGATCAAACAGGAAGCGTCCGGATTTCCCCCCGACTGTAAGACCTCAGAACAAGAACAAGATTACATTCGACAAGTGTTATACAAAGAAGGATTCATGATGGACATTCTCAGTATCGAGAAGAATCCAGTGAGAAGAACCATTGCTAAACTCTTTTTAAATTGTCTGTGGGGAAAATTTGCTCAACGGTTGTTATTACCCAAAACCAGATACTTGGACGAAGAAGAGGAATTACAACAACTCTTACAAGATTCGACTCTCGACATCAAGGGCATGCAACTCTTAGTCAATAAAGAGAACCCCAATGAAGACAAGATGCTAGTGAATTATCAAGACAAACAGGAATTCGTCGAAGAATGTCCCTTTGGAAACGTGGTCCTGGCTTGTTTTACTACCGCGCATGCCCGCTTACACCTCTACGAGACTTTACAACCTTTAGGAGATCGGGTCCTTTATTTCGATACGGACAGTATCATTTACCAACATATAGAAGGAGCTTTTAATCCTACCTTGGGCAATAGTTTAGGAGAATGGACAGACGAATTAGACGGGGATCACATCACAAAATTCATGTCGGCAGGCCCTAAAAATTATGGTTACCGGACGGACAAAGGAACCGAGACCCTTAAAGTCAAAGGAATCACTCTCAACCATCGTACCTCCCAGATCGTGTCACTAGAGACTTTAGAAAAAATGCTCAAAGGAGAAATAGAGGAAGTCACAGTCCCTTATCCCGACAAAATCCAGAGGACCCGTGATCATGAGCTCGTGACCAAACCATTAGAGAAAAAGTATAGAATTGTATATGATAAGAGACAATTGTTACCTTCTTATAACACTTTACCTTATGGTTATTGATATGTTAATATGTTTGACTTTTTTTTGAATTAAAAAAATTGAATTGTTGTTTTTCTTCTTCCCTATAAAAAGGGGGGCAATACAAATCAAAAGTTCAGTCATGACTGAGAAATTGTTAGATCAACCCATGCGTTATCCCCAGTATGCTCGGCTCTCAAAGAGAGAAGCTACTTTTGAGCAGGGATGGCCAGAACCTCTCTTAGGAAAAATACCAGACCTAGCTCGAGCCGGGCTTTACTACAGGGGAGTGAAAGATAGCGCTACCTGTTTTCATTGTGGATTTACTTTTTCTAATTGGGATCCCGAGGACGATCCTTGTGTAGAACATGCTTATTGGAACCCCAATTGTTCTTACATCAATCTGTATAAGGGACGAGGGTGGGTGATGAATGTGTTTATTACGTGTTTAGAACAACAGGGATATAAACCTTTACCTGAGATCAAACCTCTACTGAACCCACAACCAGACGTCCAGGCTCGAGGAAAATGTCACATTTGTTTAGACGAGGAATTACAAATCGTTTTTCTACCTTGCGGACACGTATGCTGCTGTGCCTTGTGTGCTCCTTCCTTTCAGTTTTGCCCCATCTGTCGAGGCGAGATTCAACAGTCCAAACGCCTATTTCTGTGTTAACTATAAATAAAGGACAGAAGCCAAATTTGGGGTTTTCTATTGTTAAGCAAGCTCCTCACACCTAAATTTTTTTTTTTTACCACACTCAGTGATAAAAGAATGAGATTTTTGAATTATTCCTAATTAAAAATTCTCTATTGGTTTTTTTCTGCAAGCTAAAAATAATTACACCTGAGAGTCTATATAAAAAGGAGACACCCAAACCCTAAGAGGATCATTTCTGATCTGAGTGAGGGACAGAGCACATCATGGAGTATCGTTGGAAAATAGTAGAACCTGAAGGGACTAGTTTAAAGGGAAGATGGATGAGAAACAAAGAGAAATGTATTCAAGATTTCTTTGATCAGAATCCAGGACAAACAGGTCTCAATGAAATCTACCTGTATAAGAGAATGAAATTACCGGACCGCAAATGGCCAAAGATACACACCATGGCCATATGCTCACCTAAACCACCTAAATATGGAGAATTCAAATGGAAAATCAATTACGTCTTGCCTCACCAAAGACAGGGACCCGAAAGCACTTTGTTTCAAGGGAAATGGATGGAAAAAGCTGGAGATTGTATTAAAGACTATTTGAAAGAAGTGATCGTAAAAGGATTCAATGCCTGTGGTAACCGTTGTGAAACAGACTATTTGTACATGAGGAGACCTTTTCCCATACAAAAAGAACTGAACAGAAGTTTTGAATGTTTGTTATTATAATGATGTTCTTGTTGTTATGAATAAACCATAGACATCAAACATTCTGATGTTGTTAGTTATTTTTCCCTTAAAGTAGGTCTATACTCTCACTACGTCATTTACGAATAGTAAAACCGGAACCGCGCTTCCTTTTTCCAAGATGAGATTTTTCAACTATATTGGTTTGACTTTTACTGAGCGTTTTAAATATCCAGTAACGATTTTGCTCGAAGTCGGTTGCGTCAACAAACACAGATTCTACAGTTTAAGGATAAATTAATTAAAAAGAGAAGGCTGGGAACAACTTTTGATTGACAGAAATAATTAGGTAATAAAACGATATTTCTGTGAATGATGCATGTTTTATATGCCGCGCCGAAAACACGGACCATATACATGCTACATCAGAACATGTATCAAACTATCGAGGCTACTATTGTCGGCGGCCAAGTTGAAGCTAATAGTGATAATTCGGAAGAAAAGTAATGACTACGAATTAACTTTGACAATTTATGGATTTTACTAATCAATCATTACAATATTTACTTTGAATAATAATTATTGCATAAAACGCATACCCCCCTCCCCTAACCTGCTTACCCACGAATCCCAATGCAAAATTATCTTTTGAATAAGTATTTGACAAAAGTTGATTCACTTGCAGCACACTTCGTTACTTTCTGTAGCAAAATCATCCAGTTTATGAGAATCAGTGAATTACTTTCATTTTCATCGTCTCCAATTTAAAGACAAGTGTGTTTTATTTTTTTATTTTATTATTATTTTTTTTTTGAGTAAAATAAGATAAATTTTAGGGACAATAGGTTTTGGGTTTGTATAATTATTGTTTTAAATTATGTACAACTTTGTTAATACAAGTATACACTCAAACATTAACAGTATTACAGAAATATGTGGCAATATATTACTTCTGAAAGAAAGAAAATAGGGGGTCCCTTTAGTGTAGAGCTCATACCACGAAAAGTAATGTGTCAACATATATATATATTTTTTTTAAGCTTATTATTTTTCTTAAGTATAATTTAGTAAAAATAATGTAAATTTACGAAGTTTGAGTCCATATTTTTTTTTTTTTTAAATGACCGAGATTTTCCTATGAAGCATATTTTCTCACATTAAATTTTGATACAATAGCCTAACAGAGTGCATCTATTTATAATAATCCATGCAAAACAATGATTATATATTGTTTACTAACATGTTTCTACTCTATTTTGGGTATAAAAGTTCAGTATTTAGAATTAATTTATATACAACAAAATCTAGGATAGGTAAAATTTCAGTATTTTACATTTCGGGGTATATACTCCGATAGGCTATAGCGGAAAAGTGAACATGTTGACATATAATTTTTCTTGTGTCTATCCATTGCTGGGATGTATGTCTATCTTATAAAAGCAGATTTTTAAAGATTGAGCCCATTTAGTGGCGAGTATAGAACTACATTAAGATACACTTCACTGAGATAGAAAAAAAAAAACAAGACTTGTTTTTATTTACACTTTTATTGTTCAAAAGGCCATTTATTTCCATCATATCGACATAAAGGACATCTCTGGTAGGACGTCTCAAAGAGGTTCTTTACACACTTTTCACAGCAGGGGTATTTCATACATTGTCCGCATTTCCATCTCCCTTGAGTGTTAAATTCCCAGCAGGAAAGACATTTCTCAATTTTTCTATTTCTTTTCATGAGCTTGGCCCAAGGGGATGTGATTTTCTCCACAGGATATTTCCACAGGAAATATTTCAGGCACCAATCACAGGCACAATCCTCTAAAGAAGGGGGGTCTTCTATCACCCAGTGTGGTATAGGTTCTCTACATTCACTGCATCCCCAGTACCAACTAACAATTTTTCCCGCATGGTTGTAGGCGGCGTATTTCCATACCTCTTTCGTCTCCTTATGGCAGTGATGGCATATTTTCTTTTCTTCCTCGTACCAATACATAATTCTCCACGCAAAAGACATGATTGCTAAATAATAAGCGCAGTGAAGTCAAAGCGGCGCTCTATATACACTAGCTTTGTAAGGATGACGTCACAATGCATAGGTAAGCATATTTTTTGCACACGGCCCCCCTTACAGATGATGCAACAGGTATATAAAGATGATGCAATAGATATAAAAAGATGATGCAATAGATATCAAAAAGATGATGCAACAAGTATAAAAAAGATGATGCAATAGATATCAAAAAGATGATGCAACAGTAAAGGTATATAAAGCGGAGCTGGGAGTACCCTGCGCTCATTGTACCCAATTTTGAAAAAAGGACACGGATCAAGTCAGACGTGTTTTGTTTCAAAGATGCACTATCGTTGGTATTGTGAGAGTCCCTTCACACAGTTCATGTACATGCAAGGAGGATGGATGAAAAGTAAAATAGGAGCCATCATGGATTTCTATGAAAATCATCCAGGTTATTCCCTGGAGAATGTGTGGTTGGAAAAAAGAGTGAAAATCCCATCTCTTCGAGGACCTAGAGTGAAGGTGAAAATCAACCAACATTATCAGCAATACAAATGGGTCACCTGTACTCAACATTCTATGAAAGATGGGACACCTGTGAACACGGTACTGAATGAAAGTCTTTGGTACTCGGACATCAGAGATTGTGTGAAACATTTTTTCAAGATGGAGAAAAAAGAACTGACTTTTCCAGATTATCACGGCGTTAGGCAGTACGTATATTGTCGCATCCCCTTTGCCCAGATTAAAGAGTCGATGGAAAACAAAGGACTTTTGTTGACTCGAGTGATTGAGGACCGATCAGAAGATGAAGAAGAAGAAATAGAAGTGTAAATCATTGAATAAATTTTTTGAATTTTAAAAAAAGTGTTGTTGTTATAAATACAAAGGTCACAGGTCCTTTATTTTTGTTGCTAAAGTATCTCACTGATCAATTTAAACAGGTATAATTTTTTACTTCTTCAATTTTAAGGTATAAGGTCAAAAGGATTCAATTTCACATGAACACAGTTCAAAGAAAATAAGTCTGTCTAACATAAAACTGGAAAAAAGCCATAAGCTTTTTCTAAAAGGTGCTGTTTTTATTGAGATTGTGCTAGTGGTTACAGAAACCTTAAGGAGAGGATACCCCCCTCTTTTTATTTATTTATTCAATTGGACAAAAAACCACATGTGACACAAGTCAAACATATAGTAAACAAAAATAAGATTAAGAATGCAAACCTGCATGGCTTTTCAGTTTCACTCCTGTTTATGTATGGGTGAGGTTTATATATATTATTCCATTATTAATGCTTTGCCATAAAAAATGCATTCAGTTGTATGCAGTTCACTTATTAAAGCCTGGTAATCAAAAGGAAAAAATTTAAATGTTAAATTTAAAAAGAAACTTTTAGAAAAAAAAAATGTAAAAAAAAAAAAAATAAATAAATAAATAAATAAAAAAAAAATAAAACATAAAACATAAAAAATAAATGTATTTTATTTTTTTAAATGTAAACTGATATAATTCAATAAAAACCACACATATAGACTTTCCCAAATTCCAATAAAGTACCTATTAAACTAAACACATTCTATTCATCTTAAATATTCACGCAGAATAAAAGGTGAATTCCCAGAAATCTTATATAATCTCTTCTCCAATGTTGAGTGAATGTGTTCAAGTACGACTTAATTTTCTATGTAAATAAGGCCGCCATGATGAATCTCCGCAAGATTTTACCCCAGTGAAAAAGGCTTGTAATTTACCCTGTAGGTCTTTTAAAGTTGTTTCACATTGTTTATGATTGTGATTATGTTATCGCTCACCTATATGTTTAATGTCAGCTATGCTAAATAATCCATTTCTGTGTAATTTGAGAGAATGTTTTGACATGTGGTTAAAGTATGGCGTGCTATTCATGTTATCATTTAAAAAGTCGATCCTCAAATAAAATCTGTCTTAAAAAAAAATACATTTTACGAATGACATTTAATATGATTGATTAGAGTATAGGTATCCATATATAAGAGATATTATTTTTGCATTACATTTAAACATGTTTTTCTGTCCCTTTTGTCTGTCAATTGTTGCTTTACTTCCTTTGTAAAATGAGGTTAATTTGTGTATCACTGAATATTGTATGCTTTTTTTTCAGGATCAGCTAAGATGTTATTTCACTGGATTATTTAATTGGGCATATATTTGGATAATTCTGGTAAGTTTGTCTTTGTTTTGTTTACATTTCCTATGAATGTCATTTTTGCATTTAACCATGATTATATGGTTTAATTTAATTACCGTGTAATTCTTATGTGATCTCATATCTCTAACATTCATATAAGCACAGTCTTATTTTGTCTAAAATATACTAAGGAAACTTCATATTGTTAATAAGTCCTTTTGCATAAATTATGATATAATTCCATTAAATGCATTATGTCTGTTACCCATGGAATTCAGACTTACTAAATTGTGATCTATAAGGAATGTAATAAAAGAAAAAGTAAGAATCTACAAAAGGTTTATCCTTGTTTTGATTCTAAATATGTGGTATATATGGCATACATATATTTTCATTTTCACTTTTGTTTCTTGGTAATGAGCTTTTCAAAAAATGTAGGACTACATGTTGTATATGCTAATATCTTTTTGTATGCTGTACTGACAGGTATTAAACCAAAATTGAATCTGCTGTTAATAAAAAAAGTCTATTAGTGTCTAAAAATTACACTGATAATCATTTTGTATTTGTGATATTAATACAATAACTGTGCTTCTTTTGTTATCTAAAGATAACATGATGAACTATTTTCATGAACTTTTTGGCACTGTATTTAAACATGCAATGTTTCATGCAGTTCCTTGTCATATTAACAAAATGGTTTTATTTCTATACAGTCCTCAACCTGGAAGATATGTATTGTTCCTAACCATCTATAATCCATTCTCTATGAAGTTCAGCCTGTCTGCCCAAATTCCTTTGGAAATACATAGTTAGTCAACCAACATAGAAACAATCAAACTTGAAGGTAAAGTTTCAATGAGATACAATTGTAATTTTTATTTATTTATTTATTTACATATGCTTGATTATATTTTCAAATTAATTGAATTGATAAGTAGATGATATGATCTTTTTTTGAAATTATGAGGGCTTGGTGGTCATGGTTATTTTTAGACTATATTGATCTCCTATAGAAGAAGAAGAAGAGCTCCATATATTTACAAAAATGATCAAATTTTTAAAACTAAAATGTGTGAAATTTTTCTTTGCCAAATGATAGTTAACAGCTGAAGATATCTTAACAGATATCTAAGAAATAAGTTATATCAGATGTTTAATTTATTAACCCTCAGCTTCCTTAAAAGCATAATTGGTAAAGATTTCAAGTTTTCTATCCAAGTGCTTATAAAATTTCTGAATTTTTCATTTAAATATTTGACATTATATTTACAGGGAAAGAATACTATAATGTGGATCCTGGGGGTTTCTACTGAACCTTTATTGCCCTTAGAGATCTGCTTATGAGTGCATGGGGAAAGATTGTAACCTTCTCTCCTGTTTAAATATACTTTGGAGGCTGGCGCATGAATCTTCATTCACAAAAGGTACTTTCAATATCAATAATGCCACCCATGTATTTTAAAAAAGATGTCTTTTACATAGGTGTATAGAGAGAAACCAAAGTGTCAGAACACAAACAGGTCAGGACAATCACTTATGCAGTGTACTTCCATAGGAAGGTTACACACTCATATCTTTGGAGGAATGCTATACCAAAAGACAGTTAAGATAATAGGGTAGTTATATTTCTCTAAAATTTTAGGTATCAACAGTATGACTGTGGAAGTTCCATTATTCTTGGGAGTTATGTCCAGCAACACAAACCAATCATGTCCAGCATGTACATTGGATCTGCTAACTTTACTTTAGGATTCCTAGGATTTCAAAAGTTCATCATGTTCAGGTTTTTTTTTTTTTTTTTTTTTTTTGGTTTCGATATTGTATGTGTGAAGAGAATGTAGACTTTGATTTGGTGTCAATAACAGTCTTTAAAAGATAAAAATGTTAAATTAGAATACAGCAAAATAAATAACCATTGGTAATTACTTAAATACTGATACAGATTTGAACATTGACAAAAATATTATTTAGTAAAAAATTATGACAATAAGAGAAGACAAAAGTTAACTTGATGACTTTTTGTCAATAAAATATTTTCAAGTCATTTCTTGTACTTTATTATCATATCAGGAAAGAAGACATTTTACTTGGTAAATGAAGGAGAGAAAAATTGCAAGGGAGGAGGTGTATAGTTTACATGGTGCATTTTTTAAGTACTATGACTAGGGTGAAGATGGGGATTTCACTTGGATAACTGAGGCTTGGTTAACTGAGGAACAGAAACAACACATCTCTGTGGTATGGATTATTTATGAAGAGTTATCACAGGTAGCATTTAATTTTTTGGAGAGAGAAAAAAAAAAACTGATTCTAGATGTACTGAGATATCCAGGACTTTGAGATTAATGTTCAAGATAGCAAAGTAAAATGAACATGTATTAACTTGTTTTGCAAAGAATCTGTTTTTAGTAGAATTTGCTAGGGCTGTATCAATATATCGATACGTATCGATATTCAAAAAAAATATCGTATCGAAAAATAACTTCCAATACCTATCGGAGAGACAGTTTTCTTCTAATTTTGTTAAAAAGATAGGAATTTCAATCACCAAAGATTATATTTTACTTTTTTGAATTAAAACTGTTCAATAATTAAATGATTTGTAAGGAAATAACACAGTTTTTATAATTATTACAAAATACACAGAGAAATTTATTTGAACATGTTGATTTTACTGTCATCAAAAGTTTTAGTTTGAAGTGTTATTTGTAAAGACAATGAGACAAGAACTTTAGAATGAGTAATAAAACACTTAATTATTATAAAATTTATGCATTAAAATGATTTAGAAGCCACTTCTGATAGACTTTTTTAGAATCCAATATATCGCATATCACTTTAAAAAATATTGTATCGTATCCTATCGAAAACTTTGGCTCAATACACAGCCCTAGAATTTGCTTTCTTTAATACAGAGATTTTTCCAATTCTATTCACTTATGTATAAAAAAAAAAAAATTTGTATAAATTAATTATGCTCAATCAACTTTGTGAAATATTCCCAACTTCCAATGCTTCTTATTTACATTTAAAAAAACCTGACTCAGATAAAATTAAATTGTTTTCTCATTTATTTTACAAGAAATAACATGCTGACAGTGAATCTAATCATTTTTTAAACTGGTTACAGTAATGTTTCCAATTGTCTTAAAATGCTCAAATGCAAGTTTATTTCATACACAAATACCTTAATTGTATAGACTAAATGTACTTATAGATAAACCCCTTTGTAGTAAAAAACATTTTATTAGGTTTAATTTTCTTGTTTATTCTCTCATATATTTCCTAATTTAAGTATTCTCAAATTATTGATTACATAAGCCAACAAATTTAAGACAAAACCACAATATATGCTGAATACCCTGAAATGAAATGGTTACATATGTAAGATGTGTAACACATCATGTACAACTTTTAAGTCTACAAAATTTTAAGTTAACCCTATTATACAATAAGACTACTTTTTTTCAAAGTTATGAGAAATTCTTTACAAAAATATGTCTTTATGCAAAAGATAAATGTTACAGTTTTTTTAAAAACATAGATTTTGCTACACTAACAGGGTATTCTGTATGACCAACTTTTCATATCAGTTCTTTACATTATCATATTTTAACAGTAATGATGATTATTTTTTTTTTCTGCAAGCAATGAAAAAAAAATATTAACACTACAATCTAAATATATTATTGTTCAATTTTAGGTCTCCATAAACAGATGATTAACAGATTATTAATAGCTGGCCATACCAAGTTTGAACCTGACCACCCCATTTTGGAGTATAGAAGGTAAATTGGAGAAAGTTAAGAAATTTTAGAAGAGGGAAATTTATTTTATCAGAGGTAAATTTATAGATGGGGATAATGAATTTGGTATTTTCATGTTGTGCAGTCAGCCTTTCAGCATTGGAAATTTTTATTTAAAAAAAATATTGTTTGAAAGAAAACATTTTTTTTTTTTTCAGATAGCACATTCTGTTCATCAGTCAAGGAAACATATACACAGCCTTCTACATATTGTCCAGGATCAGAAGAAGCCAGTGGTGTTTTATAATTGAAAACCTCAGTGACATCTCTTCAGAATTTTTTCTAGACCTTTGAAATTTTAAACTAAAAAATCATAACATGTATATCACAGAGAGAAGACTATCCGTTTTTTTATTTATTTTTTTTTTTTTTCTTTATTTTTATTTTTATTTTTTTTTTTTTTTTTTTTTGAAAAACATCACTTTAAAGTATGTGAGTGTCCATATTATTTGTATTCTAATAAATTAAAAGTTCTGAAAAAAATAAAAAGACATACCAGAAATATTCATGTATATTACCATTGAATAGATGAAAAAAAAAACCCTGATCTTTTAAATTTTTAAGCTGTACAAAGTTATCATTCCAGGAAATTAAAGAAAAAAAAAATGTTGATGCATCTATACTCACATTAAAAACATTTTAATTTTTTGATATTGTTTTTGCTTGAGGGATGAGACATTAATTAGTGAAGGGAAATTATTTATTTTAACTCTACCAAATAATATAAATTTTTTAATGTTGCATATTTTGATTTTCATGTTAAACTTTGTCTTTTTTTTTTTTATGAGAAAAAACAAAAACAACAACAACAACAAAACATGAAGTGAAAAAAAAACCCTTGCAGGAAAACAATGGGATATGATGAGAGTTCATACTCATGCAGATTTTATTCTATAGTATTACCAAGAACTGAAAAAAAAGTAAGAAGCTAAATGATATTAAAAAGAAAAAAAAGCAGAGAAAAAAATTCCATGAATTTTTTTTTTTTTTTTTAACCTGAATAAATCCATTTGATTTTTTGTCTGTTAACAAAAACAGCCTTTTTGAAAAGTAGGGTTATCCCCCTTTAACCATAGATTATTTTTCAAAACACAAAACAGGTGTTGGGTATTCAGTATAGAATGGGGAGATAAATAAAATGTAAATGATTTAAATGACATTTTTTAAGGTATAGTGATCAATGGTATCCCTCATCTTTTCTGTATTGTTAAAATGAAAGATGATTTTTAAACTTTTAGACAAATTAAAGTTACATGTTATCTAAAATCACATTTAAACTTTGCCAGAAAAAAGGAAAACTACCAGAAAAAAAAAATGAAAAGAGTTTGTACTTACAAGTAATAGTTATTTACCTCATTGCTTTCAATGAGTTATGGAGTTTGAGAAAACATGTTTTCTGAAGAAAAAAAAAATTACTTTGAGAAGTGAAAATTTTTCTTTTACAACAGAAAAAAAAAAGACATTTAATATCAGAAACTGTGTCATGACCATGTTTTTTGGGACTTAAAAGACTAGGATGGGATTTTATGCACAATATACATACATATCACAAATATTTCAAAAAATCACTCTTACATTCCTCTTAATATTTGGGTTGTTTTCCCCATGATAGTTTCACAGAAAGGTATAAATTCAAGGTGTGAAATTAAAAAACACTCAGTACTGTTGTTGTCTCAACTATGGGTAACACCTCTAGTAAAGAAAAGAGTAAAGGAATGAGTAAAATTCAGTTTGAAAAGAGAGTTCATTTAGAGAAAGATGTAGACAGAGGTATACCAATTCAAATACATGATGATGGGACTATTGAGATCATTTCTCAAGAAGAATATATCCAATTAAGTCCAAAAAAAAAAAAAAAAAAAAAGAGTGATCCTAATGATGCGAGAGATTACATAGAAAGACCCAATGAAGAATACAACCATTTCTTACCCATAGAGGGTAAGAATTACTTGAATTACCCTGAAAGACCTTTGACTAGAGAAGAAGTCAAGTTTATAGATGATAAGAAAAAAGAGATATCAGAAAAAAAAGATTGATAAAAAGACCCAGGGATTTTAAAAATCCACAGAGGAGAAGAGTTTACAAAATAATGAAAGAAATCCAAACTCAACTCTTGGAAGATATTAAGACTCATTATCAAAACAAACATCAAGAAAATACAGGCAATGGATATATTGCTAAGTTAAAAATAGACAGATTTAGAGTAGCCAAAAATTGGATATTTGATTTAACTGGGTGCAGACAGGAAGATGTAGATCAAATCATTAGAAGTGATTATCAATACTTGATCTTACAAAAAGAAAGGCATCCAGAAACTGGAAAACTTCATCATGTGAGAGGATTCATTCAAATGAAAAACAGAGTTCAAGGGAGATACATGTACAGAAAGATTCATAAATTAACTTGTTTTGATATGTCTCACAGTACCCCAGAATTGGAAAGAACCTTTTATAGACAAGGTGACTATGAAGAATATGGGGTTCTTAAATCTAAAGTGAGAAACAGAGAATTAGTTCCAAGAGATTGTAGATTTACCTGAATTTTTTTTTAAAAATAAAAAATTATTAAAAAAATAATTTGTACACACACTTATGACAAAAATACATTCTTTTATCCACATAAAGTGTATGTATGTATGTGTTATTGTTTTGATGAAAAAAAAAAAATTAAAGAATGTGTGTTTTAATGTGAATTTATTTTATAAAAAGGGGTTATTATTAAAAAGTTAAAAAATTTATAAGTTAAAAAATTTAAAAGTTTTAAAAAAATTTATGAAGTTATAAAAAAAAAAAAATAAAAAAAGTGACCTGGTGTTATAACTTGAGAGAAACACAATGTTTCTTTTTTTTTTGACTGTTTAAGTAGGCATCTTTTCGAAACAATTGGGTAGCCCTTAAAAGGGCCGTTTGTTATAAAAAACTGGTTTTGTAGTTTTTTTTGGTTTTTTCTGGTTTTTTAATTTTTTTTTGGTTTTTTCTCTGGTTTTGGTTTCTGGTGAGGGTCAGCTATCTTCTACTAATGGGCTAGAAGGTGTTGGACTACATGGGCTGACTTGCATGCCATCACTGGAATCCTTGGTTTTTAAATCAGTGTTTGACCTTCTGGTTTTTTGGGTTGCACTGGACAGGATCAGGTGCATTACTGGCACAAGGGGCATGGTAAACCCCGTTCTACTATGCGAGCTGCACATAAGATGCATGCAGGCCGTTGGAGGCAGCGGTCCGCATACAAAGTTACTGCGTGTGGATTCCGATCATACATAAACTGCACCAGAATATCAACATGGCAGAACACAAAAACCCCCAGGGGGGAATTCGCTGGTTCCTGCTTGGACTTGGGGGGCTCTTCTGGGTGTAGTGGGTCTGGAAGGGGGTGGCGGCGGTGGGGGTGGCGTGGCGAGGTGCAACTCTCCTGTACGGGTGGGCCCTCCGTCTATGGTTGTCGTTCACTTGGAACCTGGCTAGATTGATTCGTATCAATTCCCTTTGATTATCCAATCGTCTCAGGATCAACACGTTTTCAAAAACTATTCCGGGGATGAGAAAGAGATCCTCATAAAAAAAATTCCCTCCGGACATCTTCTTCTTCTTTACTTCTTACTTCTTTCTTTCTTACTCTGGCAATCAGCTAGGCTGGAATGACACTGGGCGCTCGGAGGGTCTGTATTTATACACAATAGCAGACGATAGTCCAATATCGCGGCAAACATCGATAATCCATCATGTGATTAAAAATCCTGACCTGTGATTGGCTATCACAAAAAAATCGCTTTTGAAAAAAGCAAACGACAGTTCAATATGGCGGCAACATCGATAATCAATCATGTGATTAAACATCTTGACATGTGATAGGCTAACACAAAAAAATCGCTTTTGAAAATAGCGCCACCTAACGTGTAAAACAAGAAATCATGTAAATAATTGATAAACTTATGGATATTCAACATCTTTCCATTCTCCGTACACAATACAATATAAAATAAGATAACAGTTAAAACATCGAATACTATATATATTAAACAACTTTCAATCATTAATATGAATCATACACAATGTTTTATCCAATTATAGACCACATCAAATCATCAACATTCGATGGTAAATTTATCGACTACATTAACAGTGACAAAGGGAAATTCAGGGAACCCGATCCCGAACCCGAGTGTATATGACGTCATACAATAACATAACACTGATGTAGTATTACATGATTTTTTATTTTAATTCTTAAAAACTAACAAAGCTTCTAACTGTCGAATTCTCCTCCGAAATCGTATTCGATCCGCTACTAATTGCAACCAGGGACTTCTCCGGTCTTTCAGGGGGGTAATTCGTAGATTTGATTGAGGCTGGTATTAAAAGTCAGGGATTTCCTAGCCTGTGTGAAATTTCCAGTCATTCCGTATTGAATACATACTTTCTCCATCGCATCTATGTCCTGCCACAATAAAATCACTTTGCCCGCTTGGGGATGGGTCAGGAAACTGTAAGGCTTTCCGAAATAACGGGTCAGGTTCAGTCCGTACCATTTCTGGGGCAGAATTGTTTTCATATGTCGACATAGAAAATGTATGGTAGCTAGTCTCCCCATGGTCGTCGCATGATGTGATAAGGCTAGGCATTGTAACCATAAATCTTGAAGGGTTTCCATGATAGTGCTCGCTTCCCGAAATACTTGTTCTGCCTCCGGGGTTAGAGATTCTTGGTGATTTTGTGCCCATCGTACTAAACAATCATACCCATCTAAAATCAGAGAGTGAGTGTGTATCAGGGTTGACATGATAGTCGATTGTGAAGAAAGGATCAGACTTTTCTTCTCATTTATACCCCCTCCGTATAAAACGTAGGTAAATCGTATTTTTGGCACACGGTCCCCCCTTACAGGTGATGCAACAGGTATCAAAAAAGATGATGCAATAAGTATTAAAAAGATGATGCAACAGGTATAAAAAGATGATGCAATAGATATATAAAGATGATGCAATAGATATATAAAGATGATGCAATAGATATAAAAAAGATGATGCAATAGATATATAAAGATGATGCAATAGATCTAAAAGATGATGCAACAGATAGGTATATAAAGCGGAGCTGGGATTTGAGGATCAGTCTTGCTTGACATTTCGAACTTGACAGACGTGAAAAAATATTATGGCAGAAGCAATGATGAATACTACAGACAACCCCAACTATGTGACACCTGAAGGTTATGTAGGGGCCCCCATGCCAGAGTCACAGGATGCAGTGGGATTAGATTTGGGCATGTATAATCTTCCAGAATATGCGAATAAAGAAGATATGGGCCTATTAAATACAACTCTGGATGGGATTGTTAACATGCTGTCCGCTCTTGACAACAAGATGAATGATATGAACAACAAGGTGAGTGATCTTAACAACAAACTGAATTATATTGGTGAGAAAGTGCGACATCATGACAACACGCTGAAATATATTGCTGAGAAGGTGGGTCATCATGAAAACAAGCTGACTGATCTGAAAACTTACAACGCCAGTGAATTTTGTTTGATTCGTGCCAAATTATCCAAATTAGAAGTGAAAGTTACTAACATGCAAGATAAAATGAGAGGAGGAGGAAGCACTTACCAGAAAAAAGAAGGACAAGGGGAATCGGGAGAAAAAAAGAAAACTAGACAGACGGATCCATGCTACATCTGCAAAGAGTTAGGGCATTGGGCCCCAGATTGCCCCAAGAAAGATTTGTGCTACAAGTGCGGGAAATTTGGCCATTGGGCTAATAAGTGTACAGAGGATGAGGAGGATCAACAATTCGTCAAAGAAGTACAAAAACTGGAGAAAAAGCCTCAGGAACCTAAGATCTCAGGGACCCACCAGACCAAACCTCCAGTGAAAGAAGGAGACAAAAAAGAGAAAAAAAAGGAAGAAAACAGAGAGAATCCAGGACCCAGCACTACTCACAAGAGGAAACTATCCCTGATGACCGATAAGGCACAGAAGAAGAAAAAGTAAATTGTTGTATTTTTTCACTTGAATAAAATTGCTGTGTTCTTGTTTCTATTGTGTGTTATTTGTTAATGTTTTGGAAAATCACTGTGAATGAGATGACGTCATAATCAAATTCTTGCAATATTTGCCAAAATCGAGTAGCAACAAGTATGTGAAAAGATGATGCAATAGATATATAAAGATGATGCAATAGATATATAAAGATGATGCAATAGATCTAAAAGATGATGCAACATATGTACTGAATTGACCCGGCTATCCTTAGAACCCCCTAATCTGCACTCCCTTGACCCGCCTATCCCCCCCCCCAGGGGCTGCACTCCCTTGACCCACCTATCCCCCCAGGGGCTGCACTCCCGTGACCCACCGATCCCCCTCAGCCCCAAAAGTGCACGAAACAATCGGCAGCAGAACACTCAGAGAGCAGAAACCTCTTCAGAGGTTAGCTTCAGAGGTTAGCCAGACCAGTCTTGAAACATGGATGAAGTCCATGGAGACTAACATGAGTACCTTAACCAACGAGATTCGAAAACTGAAGCTGAATAGGTCAGTCAGTAAAACCTATGACAAACAAGCGAGAGGCAAACCGTTGCGTTGTTATGAGTGTAACAAGGAAGGCCACATAAAACGCAACTGCCCAAAGCTGAAGAGACGGCCCTGTAAAAGTGAACACAGGGATTCAAAAGAGAAAAAGGGATTAGGCAGGCCAGTACGAAGTAAACAGACGTCAGCCTGTCCTAGTGGATCAATTGGTGTTGGATCTTCCCTGGATGAAGCAGGCATGTACATAGATATCTCTGTGCAAGGTACCCAAGCTAAATTCCTGGTTGACACAGGGGCAACACTGACATTGTTGTCCTCAGCAATGTACGAGAAAATTGCAGAGAACATAAGGCCAAAGCTGCAGAAGGTTAGCCAGAGTATCTTAGCTGCCAATGAAAGTGAGCTGTCTGTCAAGGGT